AAAATGTGTTTCTATTACTTTATACTTTTGAAGTTTAATAACAAGAAAATGAAAAAAAAGATATCTTAATTCGTTGAGATTGATAGCTAAACTAACAGGAAACCGTTTCTATCGGAATTACATAATTATATCAACAGTTCTATCAACAGGAAACATTATATTTAAAACACAAAAATAATGTAATGAAACGAAATTTTATCCAAAATTTCCCTAACGATTTTTGTTACTAGGGTAACCATATTTTTTATCGCATCTTGTGGCTTAGATAAAGAGCATTGTATATATACCGTGTTCGTTTTTGAAAGCATTAACGTTGCAGATATTTGTCAAAAAATGTAAAAAATTATCAGTACCTGACAAAATTACGTTTGACATTAAGGGTGTCAATCTGATTAAAATCAGCTGTTACATGGCTCCGCCTGAACGTGCCGCGGTCAGGGTCACGTTCAAGTGACCTTAAGATGAACCAATCAGAGGCGCGCTGGCAAAAGTTTGCCAGCGAATCGGAATATAATGGTTGATAGATAAATAGCGAGGGGTATCGAACAGATTAGTTTTCCAAAACAAATATGGCGGCGCAACTGACGTTTCTACGACGCCAAGGAAAACGTACCCATTGGGTAATAATTGCGTAGGCAACACCGCCATACACTCTTTTTTCTCTAATAAAGCTTCGAATATCTTTTTCTGTTCGGGTTTCAGACGATCAATCTCAAATAACTTCAGAACTTTCGCATCATTCTCATCAATGTCCGACATATTTGTTACAACTCCGAGCGCCCTTTTTAAAGAGGGTCTCTGATTGGTCAAAATTTAATGAGTATTTATAAATATTAATGTCACCGGAACGTGACCCTGACCGCGGTACACTCAGATGTTCAGGCGTAGTACGAAGTTAACGAAGCCATGTAACATATGATTTTAATCAGATTGTAAGGGTGTAAAATTGATTGAAATTAGCTAAGCTTTATGCTACCTACAACATGATTTGTATTCAAGACATCGTGCTCTATTTACCGCTGAACTATATCTGTTCACACATGAACTCTCCGACAGTAATTTGTGGCCATCAGGAGTAGTGTGTTCGCTTTGATTATTAATCTGACGCCAACGTCACCTCCTCTGATGGTAGAGGGACAGGAAGCCGATGACAATGCCGTTTCCGTGTGAAGTTACCTGTTCAAAGTAAAACAGGCAATACACCGTGAACAGTTCACGGTCGCCATCATAATGCCATTTCCGGCTGTGGGATTGCGATATTTGTAAAGAGCCTGTTAATGTCCACAGTGTCTCGTAGATTTTTGATGACCGACCTCATTTCCCAGATTTGACAGGAGAAAAAAATACAGGCACAATTGTTTGGTCCAATAAACATTTATCAATTCAGAATGTTTAGTTTCGCATTTTTATTCAATTCATTGATATTGTCCTTCCTTTTGTTTTGGTGTCTCCTCGGTTCCTGTTTGTATCTTTACACGAATGTAATATTGTACGGGGAACATTTATGTCGCAGAGTTGCCCTCTCTCGGCTCCGTACTGGTAATGATAACTTATAGAAAAAGCTGAGTAGTGTATTGAATAGAGGACAGTGTAATTAATCTTAGTTGAAAATATTAATTAAAATTTGCCATTATATATTGAAATATTATTCGGTAAAGGCTTTTAACAAGTTGGATTACTTGTGCCAAATCCCTTTGAATATATGATGCAAATTCAAAATATGTTTGAATAAATCATTTCATATAAATCTCACTCAATCGTACCTGCCGAATAGGAGAGGTCCACCCACGTGCCGAGCATGCGACTCCTCATTAACAGTGACGCGTATTTAAAGAAAATGTTAAGACTTTAGATACATTAATATTCATGATAAATACGTACATGATTCTGTGGACTTCGACGACATCGGTCTTTTCATAATCTTTGAGCCAATTAACCTACTATACTTGACTCAAGCAGCATTTATACATCATCGTCTTCCATCTCAATCAATTACACGATGTTTTAAACTGAGTTTTGTTATTTTACGCCCTTGTACTTTTTCAATGTTGCAAGCCTCTAGACGGCTGGTAATTATAATATGTAGGTATGCGTAGCTAGGTAGGTTATGGTAGCTAGGTAGATTAAATGTTACAAATGTATTTTGGTGGCACGGATATTGCCACATATCCATGTATGTTACTGTAGTATTAAACTGTTGCATGTAGACGTATATGGGTATGTATGCAAACTGTTAGGCAGGCGGCGGGCAGGCGGGCAGGGAAGGGCGGGGTGGGGAGAGTTTGCTGGTTGGGTAGGTAGGTCGGTACATATGTAGTTAGGTAGATTTAATGTTACAAATATGTTATGGGGGTACGTATATAGGCACATATGCATGTATGCTAATAAAGTATTATACTATTAAATGTACATGTATGTGGGTATGTACATCTATGCATATTGTCGGAAAGACAGGCAGGGATGGGGTTGGATTGATGGGCGGGTGGGTAGTTAGTATAGGTAGGCGTCGGGCAGGCAGGCAGGCAGGGGTGGGGAGGGATTGTGTGGGGTGGGGAGGTAGATTTATGTTAAAATACATAATGGGGGGTAGGTATATTAGTCATATAGGTTTATATGCTAAAGTGGTATTATACTGTTACATGTGCACATATGTAGGTATGTAGATGGATAAAGTAGGAGTACGTATATCGTCATATACATCTGTTTGTTACACAGTAGTATTATACTGTTAAATATTGTTCCAATGATTAGAATTGTATTGTTTCATTATGTAAATGGTTTACTATATTCTGTCTTGTAAATTAGAAATATTTTGCACAATAAAAGCATAAAAGATGACCATGTCCTTTTAAAATATTTGATAGGTATATATATATGTCACCGGTTGCTCAGTTAATCACGGACAAGATGTGTTTTTCCATTGTCTCTACTATATCCGAAAACCTACAATACAGGATAATACAATAAATACATTCACCCTCACATATACAATAAATACTGGACAACTTCCGCAACGACCGAGGTACCAGACCTCTGAATAAAGACCGCTATACATACATTGTAAATTGATTAAAGTCACTAAATATAATAATTACACGATAATTGTTAAAATAATACATCAATGCATACCGGGTATGACGTTACTAAAATGGTTCAATGGTGGCGGCAATGTCTCTATAATCCTCTGTATGTCTCTCATATGAATAAGTATGACTGGGCAGTTAGCATTTACCCAGTAGACGGAATGTAGTGGCAGGAATATAAAGGGGGCTTTATTCGTGCAAGGGGCAGGTCCAAGGTCTACGTCGTAAGAACACAGGTACATACATTCCGAACCGATGATGGCACACGTTCTGTTATTTATTAGCCAAAAGCTCTTAGGCTTATAGGTACATACATATATACATACAACATTCTCTAAACATAATTAGAATAGACAGGAGAGTGACATCACAGTATACCTAAAACACCGTTCAATAATGTACATATAACAATACTTAATTAACACATTACAGTTTTGAAACACCACAAAACATATACCTCAAATTAACATCTCTTATGGTACTTCCCAAGGACAAAATGGCTACCACCACTCATTTCAAATGAAGTACTTGAACCAGCACACTGAAGCATAACATTTGCAATTAAATGGTATATTTTTGAACAATTCAACAATTGAAAACCACTAAACACAATATTTCCGGGAAAAAATTGAAAATGTTGATTTTGGAGACGATTTATAGTGATTTTTTTCTGAGTATTTTTGTAGAACAAACAACAGTACGAAAATCTTACATTCTAAATATTTAACATTGCATGAGTTTAAACTAGATCTTTTTGTCGAGAAAAGTGTAAGAAAATGCTTCAAACCTTGAGAATGATGTCATGTATTTTGATTGGATATTTTACAATAATTCATTAAGCTAACAAGACTTTTGAACAAGTCAAACCGTATTACCTGAGTGAGAACCTCTAGTGTTTTGAATCTGTCCGGTAAAATCTTACTTGCTTTGCATGCTTTTTTCCAACCTCACCCAGCCTTGTTCGCTTTGTGCTCAGTTGTGATTTATTCAGGGGAAATATATGTCATTATTCTGGAGAGTTGACAAATTTTCTTACATTTTTCTCGACAAATGCATCTCAATGGACATCCAACCTTATGATATTTACAAGTTTAAATGTTTTTTCCCGAATTGTGACTTATATTCAGCTTGGAATATGAACACATAAAAATTGAGTTTTTTTCATTAGTTATTGAATATTTTTTCTGAAATTTAGTGTGCATTTACCTCAATTATGTTTGAGAAGTATTGGAGGAGGATTTTTTTTGTGACGGGGATCGTTTAATGCTAACGGAATGCATTATTGAATTTGATATACAGTTTGGTGTGGCAGTCATATTGGAATGTCCTTAAATGCTAAATATAAATAATTTCCTAAATTGGATAGCTCTCTAACATTATTCATACTAAGTAGTTGTATTAATTTAAAAATCGAGGGTTTTCTGTAATAATATCGTATGATTAATCGGTGCCTGAGATCGCTATAAAATGGACAAATCAAAATAAAATGATGCTCGTCTTCTATACCTCTCAAATTACATTTGTTACAAATCCTACTTCTGCGTGTGACGTTATGATGTCTACCAATTGCTATATTTAATTTATGAGACGATATTCTAAATTTAGTTAACATACACTATACAGCAGACAGTTGGCAGCACTCGTTACTAATATATATCTGTGAACCATTGTCTTGCCAGTATGATTACTGGTGACCATTGTTCTACTCTAAACACACGATAAAAACTGTATAATGTAAAATAATCAGTACATGACTGGTAATTTAAAAAAAGCTAGTATTAGGCACATGTCATAACAGTTGAATAAAACGGTCATTAAAATAGATTTAACGCAGATTGAGATCAAGGAAGTTTTAATCAATTATGAAACAAAATCTTCTGCGAGACGTTCGATATTGTTGATGCTCTGTCTAGGTGTAGAGATGATACCAGTAATCACGTTCGTTGTTTTTTATTGTTTCACCGCCTTTCTGCTTTCAACAGCAGGTTTGTATAACATAATGTTCCCATACCATATGTATGAAATGTTTTTGTTAACGTACAGTGAACGATTAATGAAAAATAAGGGTCACAATTTATTATTTTATTCCCTTAAGTGTAAACATATTTACCATTAATCTCTTTTTTTCTAACGATGAAATTCGTCGATTATCACAATGCTATCCACATTCTTGATGTAGATTTCTTCAGTAACGAGATATTTGAATATTTTACTTAAGGATCCTCGTACCACATCACAAAAACTGTAACAAAGTATTGAAAACTGTGTTTACCGGCATGACTATAAGAAAATCCATCGCCGCCATAACAGCCATAAAGGACCCATCAACCCGTTGTCCACGGATATCTAAGGAAATCACGTACTTTATTCTTAGGGGATAGTATGTTGTTTTGAGTGACTATACTGGCGATTAGAACATGAAATTTGGTTTGAACTCGAGACTGATAGGCGAGTTTGACGCCATAGTGTTTGTGTTAAAAACGGGTCGTGGCTAAAGTGCAATGGGAGGAGCTTAGCAAGATTGATCATGATTCTATCGCAGATTAGAACATGTCCGTATTCAATCAAAACACGCGTTGCAAACGAATCGTGTTAAAATGCATAATAACTGAATTTCAACGCTTGGTGCCATGATGCATGTTTGGTTAAAATCACTTTTAGACTTTGTAGTATTCCATATCAATCAAGTAACTAAAAGATTGCGCTAGTATACATCAACTTGGAAGACAATTGTACAACGCGGCAAGAGTGATGGCTATTTATTATGGAACACACTGTGTTTTTGTTTCTGTTGTATTTACATCTGGACAGGCTGTTTTGAGCTGCCAAATGACAGATTGCCGGCAATGCTACAAAATACAAAAACATTTATTTAAAATCGCATGTAATAATCAGGTTGAAATAGATCTTTATAAAATAATCATTAGAAAAACTAAGTACGGAAATATCTATCCAAAATTTATTCTTGCTTATTTCGATCGGGGACTGATAGTCCACCAGCAGAGTCAACTAATTTGTTTCGTAAAGCAATGACTGATAGGAGTTTTAGCTGTTTGGATTTAACTATTTGTGAGAGGTGAATACCGCAAAAAATATAAACAAATCTGTCAACCCAACAAAAATGCTTCCGTCTATATTCCTTCACTTTTAGTTTCCACCAAAGGAGATAATATAAGTAATGATTTAGCAGTTTCACTAGTTGTCTCCCTGCTACAACCCGTTACATGCCTCACACACAACAGGTAGCACCATTTCAAAATTTAGTTTTTCGATGCAAAAAAAGAAAGTAAACATTTTACTAGATCATAGTTGCCTATTAAAACCATTTACAGTGTGTCAAATTTACATTTATTAATTACAACATATAACATATTTTAAACTAGTATTTCGAGTAAACCAACTAGACATTCTTGCCCACACATTGATGGTAAACGAACAAATATGGACACTTCCAACTTCCTGTTTGCCGGAGGATGTGAAAACTGAAATTTTAATAGTCATTAATTACTTCTAATGTACTATGTCATTTTTAACACAGGTTCGGACCATCCCAATACTTGAACCAAAAACATACTTTAGGGACATTCTATTCACTGCTACCTATTTTGCTTCAGACGCTGACCCATGCCTCGCGAGTAACCACGTGACCATTGATGACGTTTGGAGGTCTACCATTAATATGGTTACCGATGGATCGTATCGGTGTGATTCAGTCATTGAGTTGGCGTGGTACCGTTTGTCATCACTGGGTAATATAGCAACCTCTTATCCTGACCTCAATTCATGCGGTACAAGTTACCCTATTTGGATGGATGATGGTAAGTAATTATTGTACAAAGCATAACAGATTAAATTTACAAATTTTTATTGTCTTGATTTTTAACTATTTCATTATACTACCATGGTTATCATAGAAAATTTACGACACCATGTTTCGAGAAATGTAGCTTGATAAAAACTATAGGCAAGTTAAATGACATGATTTGATTATGATGATTAATATGTCCTATGGTTTCCTTGTGATTATCCCGATACTACTTTTGAGGACGTGCCATGACTTTTATTCGACTTAGATTAACATAGCAGGTGTCGTCGATGAAGCAGAAGATGTTAATCTTTCCAAAATACCGGGATAAATTAACATTGTACTTTTTCAAAGTTCTCTGGGTTAAAATTTCCTACTCTCATTTTTTGTTTGATGTAATCGATTTTGAGTTCAAATTATGGTGTTAATCGTTCTTCGATATTGCCTTGTTTTCTTTTTGGAAGTTAATTCGACCTTTCCCTTTGTTCATTTTGTGAAGAATCCAGGCGAGAATTTATTTGTTGATTGTATGGGAACCTGACAACAGTCGGTAGATTCTATAACAGACTCGTTATTTTACATGTCGTCAGAAACTGAGGAACCGTGGATGCGAGACGCGTGAAACTGATAGCGTTTGAAGCAAGTGATGACATAAACAATGATATTTCAGTAATTTTCATGATTTACCTTCATTTTTCCTATTGGCTCCAACCCTCTTTCTCAAGAGGGGACACAGCCTCCGTTTAAACTACATGGGGTCAACTTGGCTGCTCAATGCTTTCGGTCAAAGGGTCTGTTTCCAGTAATGTTAATTCTCCATAGGAGCCTGCCCCCGTATAATTTCTTATCTAGCTCAACTACTGTTTTTTTCTTTTCCGAAGAATAATTTTACACCTTTCCGACACCCAGATTTCATAATTTCAGTGAAAATGTATTTTTATAAAGTTGTCAATTTCAGCATCAAAGACATAAGTTCGTAAATAAAAGAAGGTTATCTCGAAATTGTAATTCGCAACATAGTATAAATTTCTTTTGATAAATATTTCCAAAACATCGTGTTTATTCATAAAACAAAAAAAAAAATATTCTCGGATGAAAATGCACTTGCAGAGACACAATTATGAAGAAAAATGCCATAAAATTGCAATTTTCTCCCGTTATATAGTTTTGGATGCAAATTTCCATCAGAAAATCGGATAGAGCTTTACTTGTTTCATATGTGTACCAAAAATCAGCTAATTCCATGTGGTGGAACGTTCTCATATCGCCGCCTGAATGTGGTTGTAAATTGAAAGAAAAGGGGAAATGAGTAACAACCTTGTCTGAAACCCTATTATATAGCTTATTATATACAAACTTTTATATTGAATATCAGAGCGGATATTTTCATGACAGTTTTATGATGTGTAACGACTAAATAAACAGTATCGATATAAAGATTTACACTGAGGACACCCTGATACATGAATACTGTTCTATCTCAAGTTGTCCTCTTCTGAATTTTCTGATCGTGTGGCCTTGTACATTTATCCGTATCTTCTTGTCTTTGTCTATACGTTTACGGAATCATTGACTCGACGCTAGCTATTCTTGTCTCACTTTCCTTGTTTTATTGTCCCATCTCCAAAGCGTTGTGGCTCTGTCAGGGTTGGGACCCTGACTTGTCTCACTTTCTTTGTGCCTGCCGACCACGCCACATCGAATAGATAGATTATCCATATGAAATACTTTATTTTGTTCTAAGTAATCAATCAATTCTGCGCTTCTTGGAGGTATTGAATGTGATTTATTATATTGTCTTGTTATTTTGTGTAATTAGTTGTTCGTTATTTATCACACATTTTCGCATAATTGTACCAAACTACTAAGTATTAGCTGTTTACAGCAATCATCGGTGGCTTGCTATTTTGTTACTTTATCGACGCTTCATAAACCAATCGTTATTGTTTCAAGATGGAGGGTAAATGTGTTGGAGAAGGGTGTCAAGTATACTTCAAGAAACGTAGTGGCAATAAGAACAGAAGTGCACGCAATGTAAATAGTCCACAATATAAATGGCTCCTAGATACGCTGGTGCAACAAGGATTGATGTCAGCAAAGGAACAAGCACTTATTTGCCAGAAGTGCTACATGAAGTATCTTCGGAACAAAAATCAGCCTGAACCTGAACCCGAGCAGAACCAGGAAATAGAGGAAGAAGACGACTCCCCGTCCCATATCCTGCCGTTGCTGACCCTTCATGATCTTTTGAATGGATCATCTTCACACAAAAAATGCTGTCTCTGTCTTGTTACCTTTGCAAGAAATGGAACAAAATCATCAGTCTTACCAAAACGTGCAAGACATCACCTGATCTATTCACACAAACTGTGGTGTCCCACCTCATCCCGCGTCTGCTCCATTCACCTTATTGGTAACGACTTAGATCCGTCTACAGAGGTTGTCCTTGATGGTAGAGGTTCCTTGGAATCTCAGTTACCATCAAAATCGTCCGAAATCATTAATGACCTCCTAGAGGTGTCGCACGTCCTTTCACAGAACCAGTCTGCGTTTACAATAAGCTTTTCTTCTCTTGATGACTCGGCATGCATGGCCTGGACAGGTTGGTCCAAAGATCAGTTCCTCGAAATCCACTCGCACTGTTCCCCATATCTTTCATCTGGTATATATACCAAGACTACACACGATGCTCTATTACTGTTCTGGGTAAAACTGAAAACCGACATTTCCTGGAGTCAGTGTTCTTCTCTTTTTGGAATTTCCAAGTCAAGTGTGTCCAAAACTTTCCACTCCATAGTACAGGCATTAGACACATCGATAGTCCCACAATTTCTAGGTCCGGATCACTTGACAAGAGAACAGTTGCTCGGGCACAATACTGTCTTTTCAGAAGCATTTTTTGGAGATAAAGCCACTGCCATATTAGATGGCACCTATATTTATATCCAGAAAAGCTCCGACCACAAGCTCCAGAGAATGTCCTACTGTGGCCAGAAGAAGAGAAACTATCTCAAATTCATGAGCATCGCCTTACCAGATGGCTACATTCTGGACACAGTAGGACCATTCACTGGCAGCGAAAATGATGCTACAATTACAAAAAAAGTCATGGACAAGCTAGTTACTTGGCTACAACCAGACGACAACGTTGTCGTTGACCGAGGTTTTAGAGATGTCCTACCAGTTCTCGAAGCCTCTGGCCTCAATGCTAGCATGCCGTCATACCTGAAACCCGGTCAAAGTCAACATTCTGACGTCCAAGCAAATCTTGACAGAACTATCACCAAATCGAGGTGGATTGTGGAATCCTATCATGGTCGTCTGAAACACTGGACGTTCTTCCGAACGCAATTGGTGTCTAACAGCTTTATCAATGTCATCGAGGCTTTGCTTCGAACCGTCACAGCCTGTCTGAATGGTATTAGAGGACCGATCTACCAGAGATCTCCAGAGAGAGATGCCAAAGATAGGCTAATGGCTGAACGTATGAAGGACCGTTTGACAACACCGAATGGTTTAGCTCAGAGAGTCAAGACAGATCCGGATCTATCTAGACGGGCAAGGTCCGAGTTTGTCAAGATGGATGCATCTTCCGTACTGTTTCCCCGTCTCGATCTTGATTACTTGAGAACCATTACGTGTGGAACGTATCAGATATCTCTGGCTCCTGGTTACATCGCCGAACATTTAAGTGATGACGGAGACTATGAGGTGTGGCTTTACCAGCACTCCCCAGACCTTCTCCGATGTCAAATACATTCTCGACACAAAAGCCAAACGAAATATAACGTTTGGATACGGTTCACCGTTTCACCCGATGTTGAGGCCCCAATAAAGGACTACTACTGCCAGTGCCCAGTTGGAGAGAGAACGATGGGAATGTGTGCGCACATCTCCAGTATCTTGTACTACCTTGGGTATTACAGGACGCTGGAAAACCCTCGACCATTACAACCACAGGTAAAGAAATTCCGACAAAACTTGAAATAGTTTTCCATGCGGCAACGGAGTGCATATGTCGAAAGTATGTTTGGGGCTCGATATGAAAGATCCCCGTTACCATGTGACTAACCAAACTTATAAATATAGGTATTATACAATCGCCCGTAGCTATGAACACTCCCGTAAATGCGAAAACCAACCAAAATCATAAGGAACACGTTTTGTTTGTTGTTCTGTCTATTTGTCAGCCAATGTCTTCAACCACGGGGACTTGTGAAGTAGCCATCTTGGATTTTTTTTATGAAAAAGTGTTTCTCTCACTTTTTTTCATATCTGTGTACATATTCTCAACATACCGAGCAAATACTCTCGTTTTTTTGTTAATTATCTAAAGAAAGTCGAAAATCGGCAATTCAACCATAGGCTAATTCAACCCAACATTTGAAAATGTTCCACCACTTACATTTTGATGATTTTTCCTCTCATCAATAGCATATTACGTACTGTTTAATAGGATAAAAATTGGTTTGCATCCAACGCCCATAAAAGGGTGTATTCTCTAAAAAACACAGTTTTTGTGTCTAAAATGTTATCATCGAAAATGGCATTTTTGAGATTGTTTCTTCCATAAAACAGCCAAATGGCGCGATGGAAACATGATTTTTTGTCACAATCATGCCATGAATGTATTCTTTACGGTGACCATCATTTGATTAGATTTTCATTAATATTTTACATAACATGCACATTTTATCAACACTTAGACAGCTTCTGAAAGGTACAACTTTGAGGAGCCATAAAAAACAAACCAAGTGACCTAAATCTTTATACTTTATAGATTTGTGACCACAACGGCATGGGCAATGCACCACCAACATGAAATTTGAATCAGAGAAGGGGCCGTTTTGGAAACCGGCCCTTTAGTCAAAATTCAAAAAGCCAATTTAGGCTAATATTGTTTTAAGGATGTACTCTTCTGAAGTTTCAATCACGTTCAAGTCTCGTTTTGATTTCGTGTAAGGGTTTTTGTAATATTAATCAAATTACGATCAATTTCAAACACGCATCTGAAAAAAATGTCAAAAATCAAGATATCTCGTTTGTAGATTTTTTTCCCCAAGAATTTTAAAAAAACCTACTATTTCCGCGGCCATTTTGAACATGTGTATTTATTCCGCTTTACGAAAGGCCAAAATATTTCACATTTTTGACACTGGATTGATCACATACATCTTAATCGTGTCGCCAAGTTTAATTGAATTAAGTTCATTTTTGCTGTACAACTTCATTATGTTCAATATAAAGAAAATAATATGTGACAAAAAAATGAAGCACACGGACCCCAAATTTGTATGGCTGTTTTAGAAAGAGTGACATATTTTCTTTTGATCTGTAAACTATTTTTGAAAGTTTAATAGCAGAACGTTTTATTAAGCGTTAAATCTGCCAAAAATGGTGAAAAAAAAGTGTTTTGTCACTGAAAAATAAAGGGTAGGGGAAACTAAAATTGCTTTTCTGAGTTAATAGAATAATTCAAAGAAATTTTACTTCCATTATTAAACGAAAATACTATGTTTGTCAATTTTGCAAACATTCATACATATCTGATATCACACTTGGAGGATATTGTCTGAATTTGTCCTGCAAAAGGTTAAAAACTGCCAAATTCACTTAAAATAACATATTTTGTCAAATTGGTATCTTTATCCGGTCATTTCCAAACATACATTAATTCTATAAGTACTAGTTCATGGAATTGCAAACTAAATGAATTAGATGCATGGATTGTACACTATCTAAAACAATAGAACGATAATATAATGACGTACTTTTTGAGCTTGTCACAGATACTTTTCACTGGTGAGCTGCAATGAAATTATAAAAATCGATATTTATTGATGTTCTCTGATACATTGACTTTCAACCTATTTTGTAACCTACAGAAATATCTGGTGGTTTTCAGTTTTACCAAGCACCGGTACTACTAAGACTGTGAAGATGTGCATGCGTTCCCTGTTTACCTCTTGTCATAAGACGTGGTCAATACAACTGAAGAATTGCCAGTCTTTCTATGTATACGAACTAATACCAACTTCTTTATGCCCCTCAGCTTATTGTTTCGGTAAGTTAAGTACATTTTATCATTGGTTTAATGATTCTTACGAACTTCGATTGTAAAACATTAATAATTATGTTATATCGTCGCTCCATCTGCCGGCGACGTTGTGTAATGATATTTTCTTTTTCTGTAAATCTTTTTAAAAGCATATCTCGATCTACGCACCGTCGACGTAGCAAAATGCAGTTTTATCATATTATTTTCTTTCTGCCTTTTTTAAGATTGACCAATAGGGCCTTTAGTCTGATCTTGTAACTCCCTGACTTGACTGTTTCGACCTAATGTTTCATGACTGTATTAATTTGCTTTCCTATTGTACAGGACGATTATTTCTATCCAGTCAGGCCGATATTGTACTTTTCTACGCCTTTCTTCCTGCTTTTAGACTCCTTCAAATTGTTCACGTGTCCCAAATGTACCCAAAAAGCAGTCTATGTCTACGACTTCTCCTTTATGAATCCAATCCAGACTAGGGCTAGCTAAGCCCCTGAAGTTTCAATTGAGAATATTCTTTATAAGTCTTCAAGGCCTGCATATTCAGTCAGGGTATTTATAACCCTTCAGTGCTGCTGATCCCTGATATCATCGTGTGGTTAAAGCACTACAGTCAGAACATATATGTTGTCATTTCTTCATCAAAAGTAATGAACAACAGTCTCACCAGCCATTCTAGGTGTGAGACACAATATATTTGTTCGATGTGAAAAGGAGAACAGGGAAGTAACTCATACTACAATACGTTCCTGGTGACGAGTCCGGCGAAGTTAATGCAAAACCTCCCTGATGAAATACACTTATTGATTTATTTACTTCTGATAGGGTTATTGGAATCCTACTGTATTACAAATAACCTAAATGGTAATTTCAACTTGTGTATCATCTTCGAATAATTGATTCGGCGTTTCAATAAAGCAAATAAGATGAATTGATAGGGATTTATTTTTGGTAGTTTGTGTGTGTCGGTTTCTTGAAATTATCAATAAAGCAAAAAATACTTTGAAATACATGGGCAACTACTTCGATTATCATATTTGCTTCTTTTATGTAATTATATAAAGTTATGGTCATATATAACTGATATAATGATAGAATAGGTAAAAAAACCTAGCGTTGTTATGAATGTTTGCATTCCATTTTAATTGCGTTATTTATTATTTAGATGCATTACCTGCCGTCCTAACAACTACCACCACCGCGTCTTATATATCAGACAATACCACCTACGGCTCACCATCAATACAAGCGGGTACGTCATAATATCTTACTACTGATTGAAAACAGTTAAACAAATATGTTATAGGCTCTGTAAATGATGTTTTGTAGCTAGGAATTATCACCGATTTTGACTTCATACTGTACATGTTTGTATTTACGTTTTATCAATATACAGTACATGCTAGCGTTTACTTGTTCATCCAGATACCATACACGTTTAGCTGTTTTATGTCGATACGATTCACATTTATTACTATTATTTATTCCGATACGATACACATTTTCTTTTTCATTTACATGTGGATACAATACGTATTCAACTATTTATTTATGACATCTGGATACGATACACGTTAAGTTTATATCTAGATAGATATTCGGTAAGTTTATATCTAGATAGATACACGTTAAGTTTATATCTAGATAGATACACGTTAAGTTTATATCTAGACAGATACACGTTAAGTTTATATCTAGATAGATACACGATAAGTTTATATCTATATAGACACGTTGAGTTTATATCTATGTAGATACACGTGTTTCTTTGTAATTTTTAATCTAAATACGATACACATTTGCCTGTTTTTATAACTTGTCTTATATTTTGCATTGCTGATTTCTTATATATACTTAGACATCCCTCAGGCTGGAATCACACTGGGCGCACTGCTTGGTGCGCTTATTGTGATGATACTAGTTGTTGCGGTACATGTGACGGTTATGATAGTTTGGTAAGTGTAACAATTAAAAGAAAATGCAGAATAAAATATTATATTCTATGTATATAAATATATGTATATATAGTATTTTGTGTGGTCGATGAGTCCTATCGCTCATTATATGTATCCTTAACTTAGAATATGCATAACACAAAAATATTGAATCCCTTAGAAACAGAACTACCTTAACTGGATATGGTCAAATCAATACACCAGACTTTTGAATTCATTCATGGTTCCATACATTTGTATATTTCCTTTTTGATCATTTCATATAAAAAACAATTTACCATGGTTTTCATTCATGATTTCTGTAATTTCATGATGATTTCCTGAGCCTTCAATATAAATCAAGTACCTATTTCAAAAACAGCATACTGCTAAGTAAAAACGAACGTAGGGTCCAATTTTGGCCCTGGATCCAACAAACAAATGATCGTCGGATGCGTACTACTTGCATAGATAATAAAGTAAAATAAACGCCGCAGTTTGGGAGAAGGAATTTGTCAAACTTTAAAGGCAAGCTGTTCCTATAACTAGACATAACTATGAACATTTAAACAACAAAATATATAACGGAGAGATAAACGGTTACCGTTTAAACAATCATATATCTCAAAATTTAAAAAAGAAACATAACGTCACTGATATAACACGCGCATGTTAAAGAATATCCTTCGACTGGCTGGTACCTATTTACAATGAAACATTCATCTTGGAATCGTAAAATTATGTACATATTGAATTAATAAATAAACCATAATTAAAACTGTGAATCTACTACCAAGCGAAGTGTGAAAACGGAGAAAAATGGAATGTCTCCGCAAGTCAAAATGGCGAAAGGGGAAACCACCTCTCGACCAGGTAGTAAAAGGATGTCAAATATGGAAAATGTGGGTTTATAATTATTTGACGATGAATAGATAATTTGATCAGTTTACAATTCAAGCTTTAATGTTAAATCGAATAGTTGAGCGTTTGCCCCTGTGAGGAAGGCTTTGGGTTCTGTTTCCTGACCGAGACATACCAGAGTCTGTAAAAATGCTGGTTTCTACTCCTGCTTAACGCTCAGCAATTTAGAAGTGGGACGATTGGTTCGCCCGTTGTCAGTATAATGTGACCGGGTGGGGTGTCCTGCTTGTTGTCTTCGGCAGTTTGTTTCAGTGAGGTAGCACTATAAAGTCGGCATCAGTACCANTCAACCAAGTAATAAAAAGAGGTCAAATATGGAAAATGTGGGTTTATAATTATTTGACAATAAATAGATAAGTTTGTTTATTTTACAATTCGAGCTTTATTTTATATCAAATACTTCGATAAGTAATGTTTTTTTTCTATTACAGCTACAAAATAACAACCAAAAACAGAAATCATGCTGATGATCAGGTCGATCCTCATCACGAGGTCCCCATGCAGGCAGGAATCAAAGTGGAAGGTTTACCAGCGTGACGTCATTGTTCAGTACTTAAACTGAAGTGATACAATAGTACTTGTTTCCCAATCATCAGAGTGAATGTCTTTTGTAATTATACATATCGATTGACACGAATACTTTTATTGTTAAACTTAGTGATACAGCTAGATATCTGGGTTAAAACGATTACTTACAAGAACTCTGCTATCCAAAATATTCATCCCAATTTACCATTATACTTGCAGAGTTTGGTTCTGTTTATAGTAACGATGCAATTTGGTGAATTTAAAATGTAGCACACTTGTTTATTGTGATGTATAAGTGGGACTCATCAGAGTCAAATACGTATTAGGATAGTATAAAAACGCATTCCACTCTGAATTCTGAAGGGATGTTTCAATCGCGACTTAACATAATTACGGCAACATATAAAGTATAAATTGTAGCTCATGTTATTTGTTGCAGAAGCCGATTTTCATGTGTTTAATTTGTTTATTATCATCACATGCAACAATTATTTCTCGGTACACAATATATCCCCTGATACTTTTAAGATTAGATTTTCGTATTTGATGAATGGATACTCAGTTTTCAGATGAGATTAGAAGAGTATTATTGCATAAATTGCTCCTTATACCAAAAGAGTCACTTTTTTATTACATTATTGCTAAATTCCACGGATCTTAATATCAAGCAACCAAACCTTAAATGAAATTCTTCAGATGTAATATGATTTGCCACGGTAGAAGATAGAATAGAAAATATGCAGGCTATTTATGACTTCTGTTTTAAAAGATTAATTTTTATTTCATTACAAACTGAAAATAAAGGGAACGCATATTAGCTCTTCCATTGTAATCAATATGAATTGCAGTACCATGTTCATATAAATAAATAAATAAATTTATTGCGTTTGAAGGAATGAATGACTGAAAACACTGCAATAATGCAATATGATTTATGCTGTATAGTAGTTTGTCTAACTCAAGTTAGTTGAACGTGAAAATAAACCATCATTAGGTTGGTGACCTTTTGTCTTCCAAAACGTTCAGATGTTATGATTAGAAAACTATATATATTGTTTCTGTTTCCGATCGAGAAAACAATTTCCATGAACAATGACGTCACAATGGAAGTTAACGTCACAAAGCACTGATGCTTGACATCATAAGTAGCAGAGTGAGCTATGAAATCCTGTGTTATCTACTAATTGGAAACCAAATCTCCAATGAGTCGGAAGTTAGGGAACCTGTAGAGGTTGTATGAGGAATATACACATTCATCTGTCATGGGAAATACAATGTCTCTCATTTCCTCTCTTGTATTTGTTTCTTTTGCAGCTTTCGGCTCAGATGAGCTCCAATTCCCTGTATAAGCTGTTAGACAGTTTTGCCATAGCTTGATGGGGAACTATAACGAGAATTGGTGATTTTCAATAGGGTTACACCGTGGTATAATCGTCATTCTCCCTGTAGGTTATCAAATGCACCTGTAAGAGAGAAATCAATTTTTAGGTGCATCAAATCAACCAGAAATGTAATAAACAACGTTAAAACAAACTATTCGGGTTCCTCAGCTTGCATATTTAGCTGTTCATTCTATTAAACCTAATGCTACACATCATAAAAGAATCAGGATCTTGATTCGATAAAAAAAACCCACATCAAAACAAAGCATTACCTATTACCATTGATATTCTCTCCCTACTGACAAACAACCAAGTATTGCTAATATGCATATGCAATACTAGCATGTGCTCCCGTACACATATAGTTTAGATAAACATACATGTTTAACGATTCAAGCTTGCTTATATGTCAATCAGGAATATTTCACAATCAGCGATTACAGGAAAAATGTTCTAGAGGAGTACAACATCCTGCAATGAAATACGCTTTAAAAAAATAAATAATCAATTAATCTTTTCTTGCTAGGCTTGCTGGTACTTCAACTGTAACTTCACCATATCTATTTGTGTGGGATGACGTTTTTATTATAAATCACAGTTATGGTGTACGTGATCTGTTTAAAAAATTGTGGAAGTCTCAATAGAAACACCGTTACAAGTAAAGGAAAACTACATAATGATAGAATTGGCAGATATTGAAATCAATTTGTACACTCTGAAATACTAGTCCTTTTCGCCTCCCATTCAAAACGAAATTTAACACTACCTCAATATGGTACTCTTAACCAATTGAATAAAAAGGAATAAGAAATTAGTACGGGAAATTATGACGTCAAAATAACATAAGGTAGCTTCCTTAGTGATGGGCATAAACATTGAGGCATTTGATAAAGAGGCTGTGCCATTAAAACGTTGTGCCAAACAAAAACATATTTAATGACACTGCCTCAACAAAGCTCAACAGAATATAAATAAATTGTATGTGACGCATACATAAATAACACGGTATGTGAATGTCTAAGATATCAAAAGCACATACGTACCAGGAGGAGGGTAAGTAGGTTGAGGTACCAACGTTGTGTTACATCCTGTGAACGAAGAAAGTAGTGTTACATTTAATTTCATGATAGTTTATAAATGAATGAATAACTATTGTTTCCTTTTAGTTTAGAATTCCTTTTTCCTCTTTTTGCAATTTGGATGAAACTAAAATATACATTAATACAATACTATATCAATAAAATAAAATAAAACTATGCAGCGTAAAATGATGACTTATGTGGGAGTGTCTCATATCTGTGCAAAAATGTGGCTGTTAATAAAACACATATGTGACAGGTGCACGTTATTGGTAACACATAAATGCTTCAGTGACAACACAAAGGTGACAAGTGAAACAACATCAGTAGCCTTAGTGACACTACACAAAGGTGACAAGTTAAACCACATAAGTAGCCTTAGGGACACTACACAGAGGTGACAATTGAAACCATGTCAGTAGCCTTAGTGACACTACACAAAGGTGACAAGTGAAACCACATCAGTAGCCTCAGTGGCACTACACAAAGGTGACAAGTGAAACAACATCAGTAGCCTTAGTGACACTACAAAAAGGTGACAAGTGAAACCACATAAGTAGCCTTAGTGACACTACACACAGGTGACAAGTGAAACCATGTCAGTAGCCTTAGTGACACTACACAAAGGTGACAAGTGAAACCACATCAGTAGCCTTAGTGACACTACACAAAGGTGACAAGTTAAACTTCAACAGTAGCCTTGGTGACACTACACAAAGGGGACAAGTGAAACAACATCAGTAGCCTTAGTGACACTACACAAAGGGGACAAGTGAAACAACATCAGTAGCCTTAGTGACACTACAAAAAGGTGACTAGTGAAACTACATATATAGCCTTAGTGACACTACACAAAGGTGACTAGTGAAACCACATACTTAGCCTTAGTGACACTAAACAAAGGTGACTGCTGGTACTACATATGCAGCCTTAGTGACACTACACAAAGGGGACTGTTGGCACTCCATACATAGCCTCAGTGACACAACACAAAGGTGACTGTTGACACTACATACATAGCCTGGGTGACACTACACAAAGGTGACAAGTTAAACTTCAACAGTAGCCTTGGTGACACTACACAAAGGGGACAAGTGAAACAACATCAGTAGCCTTAGTGACACTACACAAAGGGGACAAGTGAAACAACATCAGTAGCCTTAGTGACACTACAAAAAGGTGACTAGTGAAACTACATATATAGCCTTAGTGACACTACACAAAGGTGACTAGTGAAACCACATACTTAGCCTTAGTGACACTAAACAAAGGTGACTGCTGGTACTACATATGCAGCCTTAGTGACACTACACAAAGGGGACTGTTGGCACTCCATACATAGCCTCAGTGACACAACACAAAGGTGACTGTTGACACTACATACATAGCCTGGGTGACACTACACAAAGGTGACAAGTTAAACTTCAACAGTAGCCTTGGTGACACTACACAAAGGGGACAAGTGAAACAACATCAGTAGCCTTAGTGACACTACACAAAGGGGACAAGTGAAACAACATCAGTAGCCTTAGTGACACTAAACAAAGGTGACAAGTGAAACCATGTCAGTAGCCTTAGTGACACTACACACAGGTGACAAGTAAAACCACATCAGTAGCCTTAGTGACACTACAAAAAGGTGACTAGTGAAACTACATATATAGCCTTAGTGACACTACACAAAGGTGACTAGTGAAACCACATACTTAGCCTTAGTGACACTAAACAAAGGTGACTGCTGGTACTACATATGCAGCCTTAGTGACACTACACAAAGGGGACTGTTGGCACTCCATACATAGCCTCAGTGACACAACACAAAGGTGACTGTTGACACTACATACATAGCCTGGGTGACACTACACAAAGGTGACAAGTTAAACTTCAACAGTAGCCTTGGTGACACTACACAAAGGGGACAAGTGAAACAACATCAGTAGCCTTAGTGACACTACACAAAGGGGACAAGTGAAACAACATCAGTAGCCTTAGTGACACTACAAAAAGGTGACTAGTGAAACTACATATATAGCCTTAGTGACACTACACAAAGGTGACTAGTGAAACCACATACTTAGCCTTAGTGACACTAAACAAAGGTGACTGCTGGTACTACATATGCAGCCTTAGTGACACTACACAAAGGGGACTGTTGGCACTCCATACATAGCCTCAGTGACACAACACAAAGGTGACTGTTGACACTACATACATAGCCTGGGTGACACTACACAAAGGTGACAAGTTAAACTTCAACAGTAGCCTTGGTGACACTACACAAAGGGGACAAGTGAAACAACATCAGTAGCCTTAGTGACACTACACAAAGGGGACAAGTGAAACAACATCAGTAGCCTTAGTGACACTACAAAAAGGTGACTAGTGAAACTACATATATAGCCTTAGTGACACTACACAAAGGTGACTAGTGAAACCACATACTTAGCCTTAGTGACACTAAACAAAGGTGACTGCTGGTACTACATATGCAGCCTTAGTGACACTACACAAAGGGGACTGTTGGCACTCCATACATAGCCTCAGTGACACAACACAAAGGTGACTGTTGACACTACATACATAGCCTGGGTGACACTACACAAAGGTGACAAGTTAAACTTCAACAGTAGCCTTGGTGACACTACACAAAGGGGACAAGTGAAACAACATCAGTAGCCTTAGTGACACTACACAAAGGGGACAAGTGAAACAACATCAGTAGCCTTAGTGACACTAAACAAAGGTGACAAGTGAAACCATGTCAGTAGCCTTAGTGACACTACACACAGGTGACAAGTAAAACAACATCAGTAGCCTTAGTGACACTACAAAAAGGTGACTAGTGAAACTACATATATAGCCTTAGTGACACTACACAAAGGTGACTAGTGAAACCACATACTTAGCCTTAGTGACACTAAACAAAGGTGACTGCTGGTACTACATATGCAGCCTTAGTGACACTACACAAAGGGGACTGTTGGCACTACTAAAATAGCCTAAGTGACACTACACAAAGGTATCTATTGACACTATATATATTGCCTTAGTGACACCTAACAAAGGTTACTGTTGACACTACATATATTGCCTTAGTGACACCTAACAAAGGTGACTGTTGACACTACATACATAGCCTGGGTGACACTACACACCGGTGACTGTTGACACTACATACATAGCCTGGGTGACACTACACAAAGGTGACCGTGACACTACATACATAGCCTTAGTAAAAGTTCATAAAGGTTACTGGTGTACGTGCTGGAAATAACCTGCACATTATAGGCGCCATTTCTTAAATGCATTTGGTGATAAAAACTAAATGAATAGTCCTATAGGGTCACTATACTAATATGACTATTCAATGTTACTGGTCCTAAATAATGTGTCTGGTGTTACAAAAAAATGTACCATACATGGCCTGAGTGACACTACACAAACGAGACTGATAAATGTGAATAGTGACACTACACAAACGAGACTGATTAATGTGAATAGTGACAATACACAAACGAGACTAATAAATGTGAATAGTGACACTACACAAACGAGACTGATAAATGTGAATAGTGACAATACAAAAAACGTTATTGGTGACATTACACCAATATGTTGAGTCCAATGAATGTTGAAAATTAAAACAAATCCATGAATTATGATACCACAAATAAATGCTTTGTGGCATCGCATAAATGTGACTTGTGATATTACACAATTGCAATACTATATAAGTTTCTATCATTTTTAATCATTTACCATCTTGTCACTTACTTGTTATAAAAATATCATTAGTTTCTTCTTCTGATGTATACTTAAAAGGTGAAACGCTATTTGAGACAAACTTCGACTTTCTTGAATTCATGAAATGAAGAAAAAACGTCATTTTATTGTAAAATTAGAACACATGCTGTCACTTATCTTAGGAAAAACAAACATTTATAAAGGAATGGATAACTATCTTTGTAAAGTAGGAAATCAGATCAACTGTATTGTGTCTGATTAAAACAAAAGAAGAATATGAATAGTCAGGTATCTTAGATGTGAAATAACATTACCAGAGTGATAAATTATAATGTAATACATGTATAATTAATAGTCAAATATCGTTAACAAAGTCCTAAATTACAATAACAGCAATGAAGCTATCAATCAAAAATCTTTGAGATATATAGTTGATAAACTTACATTTTCTCGATCAAAACGTTTTTCGTTTTGTTTTAGATGCAAGCACAAATGGCGTTTTTCATTATTTTATCATTTCTCAACTGACGATTAGTTCTTAAATGGTGACTATTGCATGGAATTTCACCACAATAAACATAATATATGCTGCATAGCTCACTACCACGCGTCATCAAATACACACTGAAATGCAAACAATAAGCCCTCGTCTTAGAAGGCACGGTAGTCTAGTGGTAGGACGACGTACTCGTGACCGAAGGATTGCGAGTCATGGAACGGTTCTGTGTTGTTCTTTGAACAAAATACTTAACACTGCTTGTTCTAGTCTACCCATCTGTACGTGGTTGGGCATTGCTAATTTTTTGAACGCTAGCTGTGAGCGCCGAAATGGCAGCACCGGATGTATACTCCCCAGGGAGTTGAGAAAGATATTGGCTGGTTGCAAAGGTCCCAAAAACCACGGATGATAATTTTTGAACCGCTTTGAGATGACCTACGAACTAGGTTGTGATAAAGCAATATATCAGAACCTCGAATAACTATTATTTAATGTAAATACCAAGTAAGATAACTCTTCATCTATCTTCAAGGCACTTACACGATCAGAATAACTGTTACATTGATTACAATAGCTGCAACTATGACAGCTAATATAATACCCGCAAGCATAGCATCTGAAACGCCGGTGTCTATTGGAACACCGTCACTCACTGTAAAAAAAAACAAAAAAAACCCCATGTATTTATATGTATTTTCACCTTCTCCCCCCTCCAGACGTTTTATTTTAAATTGGAATATCGGTTGTATTTTAACATCTTTGCCATGAGCGTTAAATGTTTTACTTTATCATAAACACAGAAGTGATGATGGCATAGGATTTGTTGAAAAATTAATTGTGCAAGACATTGATACTTTAAACGTTCTTATTTTAGCGGACTCAAATTTTATTTTTAGTCGACGTTTTACAGATTAGCGCGTTGATGAATTGCCCCGCTCAAAAATATGCAATAAAAATCTGTATACAGAAATGTCAATTCGCACAGCTGTTTTAGCGCAATACCTGTAGTGCAGAGGGCGCTAAAATTTGAATACCGCTAAAACCTGTACGTTTGCAGTAAACTATCATTTGAATACTTAACCATAAGACTTTTCAGATGCTATTGTTGTTGTTGTTGTTGTTGTTGCTGTTGTTGTTGTTGTTGTTGTTGTTGTTGTTGTTGTTGCTGTTGTTGTCGCTGTACATGTGGACTCTGTTGCACAGGGTGTAGCTGAGATAGTATCTGAACAAAAAAACAATATTTGAGATGCAATAATTAGAAATTTTACAGTTTACTTGCTACTGCATATTGCGTGGGAAAAACAAACGTCTCTATTTAAGGCCTGCGAAAAATACATATGTCCGTCTTGCTTCTGCCGAGTGCGAAACTTCAAAACACTTATGCCAAAGGTTCAAATGACTTTTCTTTTTAATCACATTGGAATCATTGAAAAAAATAGCATTCTCTTTCCTACAGGTTAAATAGGTTGTAATTGTTTAAGCAAATTGATGACCTGACTCTTGTTACACTGCACAAAGTGATGGTACAATGGTGACATTTTCGGACTAACAACGTGTTTTTGTCTTTCCCTGCGTAAATCAAGACAGGATTTTTTCAAAATAACAGAAACATTGATGCACCTGTAAACCGAGAGAGATGATTCAACTAATGGTTCGGAAACGTCATACCTTCCTTAGGGAACGAGAAAAGCCAATCTGAACATAAACAAATTACACTTTGGTTGAAATTTCTCGGTATATATATGCACGGTGTAACATTATTACATATCCCTTTTTTCCTCTTTCTAAACAACTTTCTTCTACCTAATGTCTCCCTTTTGGCCTTTAGTTGAGCATTCCCCCCTGTGAGGAAGGCGTTGTGTTCTGTCCAATGGACGAGACATACACGAGTCTGTAAAAACGGTAGTTTCTACTCCTGCTTAACGCTCAGCAATTTAGAATTGGGACGACTGGTTCGCCCGTTGTCAGTATAATGAGACCGGGTGGGCTGTCCTGCTTGGTGTCTTCGGCAGTATGTTTCAGTGAGGTAGCACTATACAGTCGGCATCAGTTCCGCGCTATCACAAGGAGACAAACACGAACATATCGCAGCCTCCCAAAACACACACCCATACACTACACGCATGCATCTTGCACACATAGAAGACCGTCCTTAAATGACCATAGCTGTTGATAGGACGTTGAACAATACTAAACCAAACCAAACCAATTATTTATTTTTTATTATTCGACATTTGTCAATGTGTTTCAAATATATATTTCGATTTTCCAACATTTACTGCAAAAGGTCTGTTTTTCATGAATACTTATTGTTGCGGTTGTTATTCACAAACTGTAAAACAATAGCTCTATACGTGTATATATGTACGAAATTTTGAATATACAAACTTCGTGGTTTCACCATACTCATACATTGTAGCAGATTTTTTCTCACCAACGCAATAACCCTGGGGGCATGCCGATGTCTCCTGTAGATAATACACACGGTAACCACAACAGTTCTTTACTTTGATGGCAATAGTTAAGTGACAAGTACTGAACGTTGATACAACACACGCAGTCGTGTCCACTTCTCCATAACAGTCGGCCGAAATATTCCCTACAAAATCAATGATACATGCAACATTTAAGCATTGAACTGTTTTTGTATGGTATTTATGATCTATTTGAATGACACAGCTTTGCAAGCAAACAACATAACAGTTCAATACTTATATTTACGTTTTGTCTGCCTCTTATGTTCTTTTTTAACTTTTAATTTATATTTAAAATTAAAAATGCCCGCCTTATCGACGGTCCACACAATTTCGTTCAATAGTTTGAACAGCGTATTGTCGCGTGCTGATTGGCAAACAAAGTAGTACTTTGAAATTTTAACAAACACTTAAATTTTATTCCACAATTCAGTATCAATACAATTGCGTATGATATGTCTACAGGGTGATTTAAGTTTATCAATAGAACTCTGAGCTGAAAGTTAGATTTGAAATTGTTTCGATTTTTCCCCGGAACAAATATCGCGCATGGACAAATACAGTGAACGCCGTAAATCCGACCTTGCCCTCCACGAGGGAGTTATTTTTGGAAGTTAATTCGAACTTTTCTCTTTGCTCATTTTGTGAAGAATCCAGGCGTGAATGTATTTTTGATTGTATGGGAACTTGACAACAGTTGGTAGATTCTATAACAGCATCGTTATTTGACAAGTCGTCAGAAACTGAGGAACCGTAGCGTTTGAAGTGAGAGATCTTGCGACGGAGCATAGGTTCGTTACAAAGGTCTGAAATGTTTATGTGTGCTGTGACTCATATCAGTAGGTCTGTAACACATGTGTCAGTAGGTCTATAGAATATGTGTATTTCAGACATTTGTAACGAACCCCTGTTGATCAGTGCAGTGTAAAAGACGATATTTCTGATAAATTGCATGAGCGTTAAATTGTTTCCATTGCCGGCATTGGTGATTTCAACCGCATGGACAAATACAGTGAACACCGTAAATCCGACCACGAGGAAGTTATTTTTGAAAGTTAATTCGAACTTTTCTCTTTGCTCATCTGAAAATGAAGAACCGTGGATGCGAGACGCGTGAAACTGATAGCGTTTGAAGTGAGTGATCTTGCGACGGAGCACAGGTTCGTTACAAATGTCTAAAATGTATATGTGTGCTGTGACTCATATCAGTAGGTCTGAAACATATGTGTCAGTAGGTCTATAGAATATGTGTATTTCAGACATTTGTAACGAACCCCTGTTGATCAGTGCAGTGTAACAGACGATATTTCTGATAAATTGCATGAGCGTTAAAATTGTTTCCATTGCCGGCATTGGTGATTTCAACCGATGTGCATTTTGTACGATATTGCAGACCTTGGTCTTGTTTTCGTTGTAATAAAAGCGTTTTTTTATTTTATTTTTTATTTTGCACATAAATTTACAATGACATCGTCAAATCTCACAATGCCCAGCGATATTTCAGCAGCCGTCATGTTTATTTATATTAGATATTGTAGTTCCGGTCAGTGTCGTATTAATACGCTAAGAATTGTGTCTCGTGATGCACGGTAATTTAAGTCCCATCAACGACACAGCTTTCAAAGAGGCTATATAGTGACAATGCCATGCAAATGTAAATATATATATATATACACCAACACACATGTTTCCACTCTTACACACATATGTATATACACTAACAAACATACGTATATATACCAACAAACATTTTTATTATCTGTCTGATGGTTTTTCCAAGCCCTGATTGGAGGAGCGACGTGATGTAACGAGTTATTAAATGTGTTACAGACCGCGTTCTATGAATAGAAAAGTGTTACAGACCGCTACTAAAAATTGACCCGAGTATTTTCACAGTTTTCGATCAACAGCCAATCAAATAATCGGTTACGCACCGCATTCTATGAATAGAAAAAGTATTACAGACCTCGACCTATAAACAGGAAAGTGTTACAGACCACTACCAAGGATAGGCCTATGCAATTCCCCAGTCAGTCTGTGAATCACACTACTGAATTCAATTAGTTTCTGCAAAGAAATTACCTCATCAAACTCTGAGCTATGGGATGCAATTAATAATGACAATTGTGCAAATAATATTTATATGAAATTAAATATCACATGGTGTATGTTATTTTGTATTTGAAGTCCTTCACTCTGTAATTAAAAAATGGTCCTTGCTATCCATGTGTTTATGACATAACAACGTATTTATCGTATTGTGACAAACAGTTGTTAACTTCATTTATATCAGGGACAGACCTCATCTGAAGCCCAAAATCGTAAAGTACATACACACATACGTATACACACCAACACATATGTATCAACACCAACACACATATGTATCCACACCAACACATATGTATCATCACCAACACACATATGTATACACACCAACACATATGTATCAACACCAACACACATATGTATCCACACCAACACACATATGTATATGTACACAAACACATATGTATTCACACCAACACACATATGTATCCACACCAACACACATATGTATCCACACCAACACACATATGTATCCACACCAACACACATATGTATATGTACACAAACACATATGTATTCACACCAACACACATATGTATCCACACCAACACACATATATGTATCCACACCAACACACATATGTATATGTACACAAACACATATGTATTCACACCAACACACATATGTATCCACACCATCACACATATGTATCCACACCAACACACATATGTATATGTACACAAACACATATGTATTCACACCAACACACATATGTATCCACACCAACACACATATGAATATACACAAACACATATTAATGCACATACCAACACATATGCATGCACACAAACGCACATATGTATGCTCCAAAACAAATATGTATATACACCAACACATATGCATCAACACCAACACACATATGTATACACACCAACACATATAAATAAATACACCAACACACATACATTTACACAACAACACACATGTTAATACCGCAAGACACATATGTATACACCCCAACACACATATGTATACACACCGACACACATGTATATTCACACCGACACACTTTGTTTACACCCCGACACACAAATGTATACACACCGACACACATATGGATACACACCGACACACAAATATATCAACACCAACACATATATGTAAACACACCAACACATATGTATCAACACCAACACACATATGTATCCACACCAACACATATGTATCATCACCAACACACATATGTATACACACCAACACATATGTATCAACACCAACACACATATGTATACACACCAACACATATGTATCAACACCAACACACATATGTATACACACCAACACATATGTATCAACACCAACACACATATGTATACACACCAACACATATGTATCAACACCAACACACATATGTATACACACCAACACATATGTATCAACACCAACACACATATGTATACACACCAACACATATGTATCAACACCAACACACATATGTATACACACCAACACATATGTATCAACACCAACACACATATGTATCCACACCATCACACATATAAATATACACAAACACATATGTATGCACACCAACACACATATGTATCCACACCAACACACATATGAATGTACACAAACACATATTAATGCACATACCAACACATATGCATGCACACAAACGCACATATGTATGCTCCAAAACAAATATGTATATAACCAACACATATATCCACAAAAAAACTCATATGTATACACCAACACATATAAATAAATACACCAAGACACATACATCTATACAACAACACACATATTAATACCACAAGACACATATGTATACACCCCAACACACATATGTATACACACCGACACACATGTATATTCACACCGACACACATATGTATATACCCCGACACACATATGTAATCACCCCGACACACATATGTATACACACCGACACACATATGTATTCCCCCGACACACATATGTATACATACCGACACACATATGTGTTCACCCCGACACACATATGTATTCACCCCGACACACATATAAATATACACAAACACATATGTATACACACCGACACACATATGTATCCACACCAACACACATATAAATATACACAAACACATATGTATGCACACCAACACACATATGTATCCACACCAATACACATATGAATGTACACAAACACATATTAATGCACATACCAACACATATGCATGCACACAAACGCACATATGTATGCTCCAAAACAAATATGTATATACACCAACACATATATATCCACAAAAAAACTCATATGTATACAACAACACATATAAATAAATACACCAACACACATACATCTATACAACAACACACATATTAATACCACAAGACACATATGTATACACCCCAACACACATATGTATACACACCGACACACATGTATATTCACACCGACACACATATGTATTCACCCCGACACACATATGTATACACACCGACACACATATGTATACATACCGACACACATATGTATTCACCCCGACACACATATGTATTCACCCCGACACACATATAAATATACACAAACACATATGTATACACACCGACACACATATGTATACACACCGACACACATATGTATACACACCGACACACATATGTATTCACCCCGACACACATATGTATACACACCGACACACATATGTATACACACCGACACACAAATGTATCAACACCAACACACATATGTATCCACATAAGCACACATATGTATCCAAACCTACACACATATGTATACACACCAACACATATGTATCAACACCAACACACAACATGTATACACACCGACACACAAATGAGAGCAAGATTTAGCGTAGTGAAGCACTTGTATGAAAACTGTTATTTTCTGTAAATTAAGCTTACATGCAGATTGCATTTATTTCATATCCGAGAGCCCTGTCTTTTGGCAATGAAATTTCAAAAACAAATTAAATCTTACCGTTCATCCACACCGGATTCAGCGTCCCACACTGAGTGGTCCGAATGACTCCGCTTGTGGCTAGATCTTCCCCAGCACCACCAGATATACGGTACCACTGTGAAGTTAAAGTACTGTCGCATCGACTCTGTGAAATGTCTGGTTCTTCATAACTTGGTGAACTGGTACCAGTCACAGCATAGTTTGCATAATTTGTACATGGATCTGCGTCTACAATGCATTGTAAAATCTCGTTATCACGACCGTGCGTTGTTTTGACGAAAATAAACAAAAAACAATTATCAGGAAATTGTAGTTTTTAGGTAGTTCAGTATGTAACATTAACATCATGAAAGGGACTGAGTTTTAGGTCTGTGTCCGGATAATGACCGTCTGTGAATATTTAAGTTTGTTCTAACAACAAAGTGGAGTATAATCATAAAATGTTTTGTGTATACCTTTAACCTTTTGAAAATTTTAGTCGTTTTCGTTAAGTTGACTAAGCTTTTAAAATTTAGCTCTGAATAGTCAATGACGCTAAAAGCCGTATGCTTTATCTAGTCTAAGTATTAATATATGCTAGTTAAAAATACATACATGTAGCTAAGGAACCCGGAAACCGGACAAAAGGTCCGCATTATTTTTGTTTTTGTTTTTGTTACCTCCGTGTGAGGAGGGGTTATACGAGAGTGTAAAAAAGTGAGGTAAAAAAGAAGAAATTACAGTATGAGAGTGTGAAAAGGTGAAAGAGAAAGAAATGAACAAGTGTTTATTTGTGAAAAAATAGAGAGTGTTTCATGTATTGTGGGTCGTAGCTGGGGCAGCCCATCTCCAGACGACCCACGAATGATGTACATGTATGCATGTATAAAAAAAATAAAAAAAATATGCTAGCTCTAAATCCTTCTATTTCGTGATCAAAACAAACTAGTAAATATCAGAACAAATTAACTTAGGTAAATTGTTTACAAAAAGATAGAAACACATGTCTGTTAGTTTGTGATCTACATAAGAGTAAACAAACGAGACAAAACACTTACCTGTTTTAACGACACAGACAAATATTAAGAAGCTGAGACTAAGTTCCTTCTTACTCGGTGACATTTCTAAATGTTATAAACTTCCTGGTACACATGTTTTCGCTTACTATGTTTTCTGTGATTGGTTCATTAAACAAAATACAATTCATGGTTTTTAAGCACGCGTCGATTTTCCGCGAACTGATGCTAATCTGTTCATATATTACTGCTAATAATAGGCACTTGGGTTAGCGAACGATTGAACAAAGACGTCCTTATTACGGGTAGGTGCACTCGACCCAGTGTCTAATATTGGAGTAACGTTTGTCGAGTATTTAACGACCGATGTTTGTGTTGGTCGATAGGAAGGTGTCTATACATATCACATTTATAACTAGTCAATATCAATTACGTCATAGTTTTATATAGTGAATCATTAGTGCCTTAACTACTGAATATCATTAGAATGCAATAAATAAAATGTATGTAATAAATAAGTGATAGATAGATACAGGAATAATAAATGTTTAAATAATAAATGAAGAAATCAATATATATATATATATATAAATTAAAAAAAACATGCATTAATAAAAATAAATAAAAATAAAAATAAAGCATTTAATTAATCTTTATATGGCTTTGCTCGTAACAAATATCACAAGAGAATGGATCCAAATGTGTTGCGCTATCATTTTCCCCGGTGTGCTTAGCGGTCTGTTCTCTTGTCGGACTTTGAATGGAGTAACAAAACACGTTCGTGTGCGATATATTTTAAAGCCTTTTCCGGCAACATGATCAGGAAGTAATGTTATTAAATTTGATTACGACATAAGTGTTTGTCCTGAACGTATACGCCTATACGGCTTCAATTCATTACCATCGTGGCAGTGTATGTCAGCTTTCAACGTATAGCTGTATAACACTAACAACTGATAATTGTAATATCTGGGCCTGTTCTGATGAAACCGGTCTCGTGCTCAAACTAAGATTTAATTTGTTTTTTTTCAGGAATAAATTGCATAAAAAATTGAACATTTTGAGAAGCCTAGTTTATATTTAAATCTCTTACCACTATGACCGTGTTACATGAATTTAAAATGTGATTGTGAATATTGCAAGTAAACTGTCTTATCTTCTCATCAGCTTGTGTCAAACAACTTCAGTCAGATTACATGTGGTTACTAAAAATTCGGTCAAGTTACACATGTTTAAACATAATGGCTGAAGAACTTCAGTCAAATAACACATGTTTAATCAAAACGGCTTAGACAATTCAGTCATATAAAACATGTTTACCCATAATAGTTTGAGAACTTCGATCAAGTTACACGTTTACTAAAAATGGCTAAAGAATTTCAGTCAATTTATACAGGTTTACTCACAATGGCTAAAGAACTTAAGTAAAATTACATGTATACATGTTTAATCATAATGACTGAAGAACTTCAGTCATATTACACATGATTAATTTTGATGGCTGAGGAACTCCAGTCAAATTAAACATGTTTAATCATAATGGCTTAGGCAATTCAGTCATATAAAACATACAATGCATATACTCATAATGACGGAGGAAAAATTACACATGTTTATCCATAATGGTTTGAGAACTTCTATCAAGTTACAAGTTTACTAAAAATGGCTAAAGAGCTTCAGTCAAATTACACATGTTTACTCATAAAGGCTAAAGAACCTCAGTAAAATAACACAGGTTTACTCATAAAGGCTAAAGAACTTCAGTAAAACTACACATGTTTACTCATAATGGCTAAAGAACTTCAGTAAAAGTATATATGTTTACTCATAATGGCTTAAAAACTTCGGCAAAACTACACATGTTTACTCATAATGGCTAAAGAACTTCGGTAAAACTAAACATGTTTACTCATAATGGCTAAAGAACCTCAGTAAAACTTCACATGTTTACTCAAAATGGCTAAAGAACTTAAGTAACACTACACATGTTTACTCATAATGGCTAAAGAACTTCAGTCAAACTACACATGTTTATTCATAATGGCTAAAGAACTTCAGTCAAACTGCACATGTTTATTCATAATGGCTAAAGAACTTCAGTAAAACTACACATGTTTACTCATAATGGCTATAGAACTTCAGTAAAAATATATATGTTTACTCATAATGGCTTAAGAACTTCAGTAAAACTACACATGTTTACTCATAATGGCTAAAGAACTTCAGTAAAACTATACATGTTTACTCATAATGGTTAAAGAACTTCAGTAAAATTATATAAGTTTACTCATAATGGCTTAAGAACTTCAGTAAAGTTATATATGTTTAATCATAATGACTGCGAAACTTTAGTCAAATTACACATGTTTACTTATAATGGCCAAATTACACATATTATCTAAAGATGTGTGAAATTACACATTGTAACTGTAAACTAGTCAAATTTTAGATACTACTCTGAGGTTTTAGGAACCATCAGATTTTAGAATATACAAAATGAATATTTCTTATGATCATAACCAAATTATACATGGCGTGCTAACACTAATGAAAAATTCGCTGAAAAAATGCATTTCACACGGATGGACATGATGGTAACCGAAAGGTTATAGGCTAAATTCTTCCCGGTAAGCCTAGCGAATGTTGAATTAATAAAATTCCACATGTATCTCTAAAGTTAATAGAATAAGATACAAGCGGCATTGTATCACTGACGTTTATATATTCGTAATTACATGTGTGTACTGGTAGCTGAATTCTAGATGATAGATAGATGGATTGCTGAATTACTTAAATTATACAATAATAATATATAATAACTCCATGTAGTTTATATAATTAGTTGAATAATACATGAAAAGCGTAATGTTTGCGAATTTCATTTAATTATACTTAAGTTGTATTGTAATTAAGTGTACATGGAATTCCCAAGGTTTATAGTATAAGCTAACTTTCAATGCCAACCCATAAGAGTACAAGAATGATCATATTTCATACGGTAACAGTAGTCATTTGAATTCTTCTAAGTTAAGTATAAGGTGTGTAGCATTAATTATACCAATTTTACATGGATGCCATAAGGATTTCAAAAACGTAACCCTTGGAACTATTTATTTATCAGTAAACAAGGTTTGTATTGGCTTGGTTCGGTTTTGTATTGTTTTAACGTCCTATTAACAGCTAAGGTAATTTAAGAACATGCCTCCATGTGTGTTGTGTAAGCGTGCATGTGTGTATGTTTGCTGCTGACAGGGTATGTTCGTGTACTTGCCTCCTTGTGATAGCGCGGATCTGATGTCGACTTACCAAGGTTTTGAAGTTCTACGTGGCAATCCGGTTGAAATTTTTGACTGAGTTGTCTATTTTTCTCATAAATCAACGCAGACGTTTTCTGAAATATTAAGAGTTAATGAATGTCGTATATTCTCTAAAGCAATCAAGTATTAAGGCAAACACAGTAAGCGATAAGACTGTACATACCAATTCTATTTCAAAATACGTTACCACAGTCATTATAATGCATATTCCAACCTTACTTGGCTCTTTACATACGTAAATAAAGAATTTTTCCCCCCATGGGGAACCCCTGGGAAACCCACCAATCAGACGGCAGTATTCACGCACGTGATTTAAGACACGAAGCCATGCTTCCCACTTCATAATTCCTTCAGCCGGCCGTGTTTACGGACGTGTTTTGGTGTCTACGGGTTCCAACTACAACAGGCGTTGTTTGTACCCATACATTTACGTATCCTTTATAACTAGTTAACTTTATTTTGTTTTAATTAAGCTTTTTGCTTTATTTTGCGCCGTTTTGCGACCAGGCTCCGGCCACGTGTTCGCGTTTTTGACGGTTTGTTTACGTTGAGATGGAGACTCCTCCTTCTCAAAGGCGCTGTCCTGGGGGTCATTTTTTTGAGGCTTCCGACCCCCACCCTTACTGTCCTGGCTGTCGGTCTTGCTCTCTGGAGCAGCCGTGTGA